ATTATTTTTTGATACAAACTATTAGTTCTGCTGGGGTGATGAACTTCTTGCAAGCATCGATCGGGCACTCGATGAGAAGCTGTGCATTGTTGATGCTACTTTTGATGCACTGGTTCAAGCATGTGCGACAAAACACATGACCACAATGGAGGCGATAAAAGTTGTTGTTTCTGGCGATTTCCGACCCTGTGCATGTGCACTGGTATTCTTTCTGGCTTTCTGTAAACATACCAATTAATGATTTTGCTTCAAATTTTATGCTTGTATAAAAAATCGGAGATGTGGGAAAGAGAAATGTTGTGGACGTGGCCGAAGGTTCAATAGCGACAACTACCTTAACCAAAGATTTTTTTTTGTGGGTTTCCAGTCAATTTTTCTCAAAAAAATGATCACTGATTTTTAATTGTTAATTTTCCCCTAATAAGTCAAAAAATGAACATTTTTGATTCTGAAGAAATTTAATGAAAACTCACGAAAATTGAGATACCGTAAAATTGAGATACCAAAAATTGAGATACCGTATAGGGTCGGTCTTTCATAGTTCCAAAGAACCCCCGAAGGGCCCTTCTATGTTTCCGTTCATTTTACCTAACATTTTTTATCGAAAAATGCATGCAAGGAATTCTCGTATAAAGTCCGTAAAAATCTATACATATATATATATCGGAATATTTTTCACTAAAAACGTCCGGAAGTTTATGATTTTAAACAACACGTTTTGAAAGGGGCCTTTTTATTACAGGACCCTTTTATTTTTTCAAGTCCCTCTCAGAGGGCCCTTCTAATACAGGTTTTTTAAAACAGTAGTTGTCCTTGTGGAACCTTTGGCTACGGCCACCGGCGTTTCTCTAATACTTTTTAAGCCAGATCTATAAAAATAAAACGATTACCTTCTAAATCTTCGTTTCCTTCAATTTCTCTATCGAAAACCGCTGCACTCAACTCCGTCAAGCCTTCGATGAGCTTCTCATAGGCTTCGATGGTTCCTTCGAAGCTCAAAAAACTGCCTGCATTGCTCTCCTCCAACTTCTTGAGATCCAAAGATCTTTTTAAGTGATCAATTATTTTCCGATCCAAAACATCTCTCAAGCGATCATTGAAGTGAGGGAAGTGCACTGGAATGGCGACTTCGATCACGATGTGAGACTTGTTGACCGAATAGTTTCTCAGATCTTCCAGAGCTTCCTCTGCAGCCAATCCCCATAAACGAATATTTTGGGAGAACTGATCGATATCAACAACCACGTTTCCATCGTACTTCTTCGGGAGGCTGCGCACGTATCTCTCTCCACGCCGAAGAATAGTTGGGCATTCTCATCTG